GATAGAGTCTCACTCTGTCACCCAGGTTGCAGTGCAGTGGCACGATCTCACTGTAGCCTCTACCTCCCATATTCAAGTGATTCTCTCCCCAATAGCTGGGATTACAGTCATGCACCACCATGCATGGCTAATTTTTACATTTTAGTAGAGAGCTGAGATCGTGCCACTACACTCCAGCCTGGCAACAGAATGAGACTCCGTCTTAAAAAAAAAAAAAAAAAAAAAAAAAAAAAAAAAAAAAAAAAAAAAAAAAAAAAAAAAAAAAAAAAATTTTTTAAATACCTAGATACAAAAAAGGAACTGGCAAGATGGAGATGAGAAAGTTTTACCAAAGGATCTAAAGAAGGACCTCAAATTACCCATATGAACCCATACACACAAGGCAATGTCAATCCAAATCCCATCTTTTTTATTTCTGAGACAGGGTCTGACTTTTTTGCCCAGGCTGGAGTGAAATGGCGCAACCTCAGCTCATTGCAGCATCAACCTCCCAGGTTCAAGCAGTCCTCTCACCTCAACCTACTGGGTGGCTGGGACTACAGGCGTGCAGCACCACGCCCAGTTAATTTAAAAATTTTTATTTTGTAGAGCCAGGTTCTCACGACTTTGCCCAGGCTGGTCTCAAACTCCTGGGTTCAAGTGATCCTCCTACCTCAGCCTCCCAAAGTGCTGGGATGGCAGGCATGAGCCCCTGTGCCTAGCCCAAAATCCCATCTTTTTTATCCCTCTTGGTTTTGATATTTAGAAGAATACAAGAATGGGAAGAGCCAACAGGATTTGGGGCAGCATAAGGAGACTGGCCTTGCCCTGGTCTGCTCCTAATGTTCCAGATTAGTTCAGGTGGCCTGAGTGCCATCTACCTCGAATTTGTCACGCTCCTTACCTCTTCAACACTGTGATCCGAATGCCTGAAAAAATGCTCTTTTACTTATTGCTAAGTCTCTTTTAGCATTTTCCAGGTAAAAAGCATCACCTGTGTTAAAACGCCAGGCTCCTCACTGTAAATCCAAAGTCGGGGAGCCTGCTGAATGCCAGGGCTGCAGACAGAAAGCTTTTTTTTTGAGACGGAGTCTCGCTCTGTCACCCAGGCTGGAGTGCAGTGGCATGATCTTGGTTCACTGCAACTTCTACCTCCCGGGTTCAAGGGATTCTCGTGCCTCAGCCTCCCAAGTAGCTGGGATTACAGGCACCCACCAACACACCCGGCTCATTTCTATATTACTAGTAGAGATGGGGTTTCACCCTGTTGGCCAGGCTGGTCTTGAACTCCTAACCTCAGGTGATCTACCCTTCTCAGCCTCCCAAAGTGCCGGGATTACTAGTGTGAGCCACCTCGCCTGGCCGGACGACAAGCTCTTAAGCTAAACACGGAGAACCAGGGAAATGCCCTGTGGACAGCTGGGGTCTGACCTGCTTCTCCATGCAGTGACAATACCTGGGGTTATTGTGAATGCAGGGCTGCCATCAGCAGCAGCGGGCCGTCACCTCTGCTGACTACATTGTGTTTTTTCCTCCTAGAACTGTGGACGACGGAGGGCTGGGCCCCATCCATTGAGTTCCTGGGGCCCTGCTGGAGGGGCTGCTGTGGCCAGGGCGCCCGGTGAGGAGGGGAGCAGGGTGGGTGGGGGCAAGCTTGGGGCCTCAGTGTCCACCTTGGCTGTGGCAGGGCTGTAGAGGCGGAGAGGGACCAGCCTTGGGAACAAGGAGGAAAAGAGGAGTGGGGGGCCTTGGCTTTGCCTCTCAGCATCTCTGCATCACCAACCCCAGCAGCAGAGGGTGGACAGCGCTGCTGGGATGCCAGGAGCTTCTGGGCTCCCAGGAGATCCCAGGAGACCCCAGGAACGTAGTAAGAAAAACAGCTGCTCTGAGAACTAGCATTTTCTCTTTTTTGACTCCTCCTCCTTCTTTCTTCTATTTCCTTTTTCTAATTAATAAGCTTTACCTTGCAGAGCAATTTTAGGCTCACAGAGTCTTGCTCTGTCCTCCCGGCTGCAGTGCAGTTGGGCGATCTCGGCTCACTGCAGGTTCCACCTCTCAGGTTCAAGTGATTCTCATGCCTCAGCCTCCCGAGCAGCTGGGATTACAGGCACCCACCACCACGCCTGGCTAATTTTTGTATTTTTAGTAGAGACAGTGTCTCACCATATCTGCCAGGCTGGTCTCAAACTCCTGACCTCAAGTGATGTGCCCACCTTGGCCTCCCAAAGTGCTGGGATTACATGCATGAGCCACCGCACCAGGCAAGGCTTACAGAAAAATTCATGGGAATGTGCAGAGATTTCCCATGCACCCCATCCCTGCCCCCACCTAGACTCTGCTACTATCACTGTCCCCTGCCACGGTGGTCCATTGATTACAATCAATAAACCTATACAGACATGTCACCATCACCCAATACCCATAGTTTATACTCTGGCTCATTCGTTTTTTTGTTTTTTGTTTTTTTTTCTTTAATTCAGTGGCAAGAAGAGTTAAGAGGTTTCTTTCTTTTTTTTTTCCTTAGAGATGGGGTCTTGCTCTGTTCCCTAGGCTGGAGTGCCATGATGTGACCATGGCTCACTGCAGCTTCGACCTCCTGGGCTCAAGCAATCCTGCTGCCTTGGCCTCTCAAGTAGCTAGGACTACAGGGACACACCCTACACTCAGCTAATGTTAAAAAACATTTTTAGAGATGGGTTCTCACTATGTTGCCCAAGCTGGTCTCAAACTCCTGGGCTCAAGCGATCTACCACCTCAGCCTCCCAAAGTGTTGATTACAGGTGTGAGCCACTGTGCCCACCCATGGGCTCACTCACTCTTGGAGTAGTCATACATTCTGTGGGTCTGGACAAATGTATCATGATAATGACACGGACCTACCACTGTAGTGCCCTGCAGAGTGGTGTCACTGCCCTAGGAATCGTCCGTGCTCCACCAATTCATCCCTCCTCCCCAACCCCTGGCCCCCACTGACCCTTTCTTTCACTGTCTTCCTGTCTCCATCCTTTTGCCTTCTCCAGAATCTTAAGTCAGAATCAAATCACATAGTGTATCATTCCTAGAGTGGCTTTTCTTTTTTTTTCTCTTTTTCCCACATGTTCCAACAGAGTGGCTTCTTTCATTCCTCCCTCCTTTTGAGCGAACTTACTTTTAACCTCATCACCATTTCCAGGTCACAAATGAAGACACCAAGATGCAGAGAGATGACTCAGCCTGCCCATGGTCACCCAGCTGGTAAGTGGCAGGACAGGGGTGCGAGGCCAGGGCCCCAGTTCTCATCTACTGGCCCCCTGTATTTGTGTGATCACTGCCACCATCCAGAAACAAGTGGCCCTTCCAGCCCGTTCTCAGAGGCCAGGCCAGTGGACCACGCAAAGGCTGGGGAAGGAGGAAGAGGGGATCCCTGGCCCCATTCCTAGGGGCTTGCTCACCTGTCCCAGGCTGCTGGCATGGCAGGCAGCAGGTTCAGGCCGTCTCTTCACAGCTCCTGGAGGTAATCCCCGACTCCATGAGGAAGCAGGAGGTGCACACCGGCAGGGAGGCCGGCCAGGGCCACGGCACGGGCTCCCCAGCCGAGCAGGTGAAAGCCCTCATGGATCTGTTGGCAGGGAAAGGCAGTCAAGGCTTGCAGGCCCCACAGGCCCCAGACAGGACGCCAGACTCCCCACTGGGGCCCCACAGCAATGGTAGGACCAGCTTGGGAGGCAGACATGGGGTGGGGGATACCTGGGCCGTCTGCACCCACTCTTCTCTTACCCGCCCTCCCTGCTGGCCTCTGTCCTGCAGACTCCAGGATGCAGAGGCACCGCGAGGCCCTGCTGAGCAGGGTGGGAGGCGGCCCAGATCTGGGCGGCCCCTCGCACAGGCTGCCCTCCCTCTTGCTGGTGGAGGGCCTGACGGACCTGCAGCTGAGGGAGCACGACTTTACTCAGGTGGAGGCCACCCGTGGCGGTGGGTGTCCCACCAGGACTGTAGCCCTGGACCGGCTCTTCCTGCCTCTCTCTCGGGTGTCTGTCCCACCCCGAGTCTCCATCACCATCGGGGTGGCCGGCATGGGCAAGACCACCCTGGTGAGGCACTTCGTCCGCCTCTGGGCCTGCGGGCAGGTTGGCAAGGACTTCTCGCTGGTGCTGCCTCTGACCTTCCGGGATCTCAACACCCACGAGAAGCTGTGCGCTGACCGACTTGTCCGCTCCATCTTCCCGCATGTCAGGGAACCCAGCCTGGCAGTGGCAGCCCCAGCCAGGGCCCTCCTGATCCTGGACGGCTTGGACGAGTGCAGGACTCCTCTGGACTTCTCCAACACCGTGGCCTGCACGGACCCCAGGAAGGAGATCCCAGTGGACCACCTGATCACCAACATCATCCGCGGCAACCTCTTTCCAGAAGTTTCTGTCTGGATCACCTCCCGTCCCAGTGCATCAGGCCAGATCCCGGGGGGCCTGGTGGACCGGATGACTCAGATCCGGGGCTTTAGTGAACAGGAGATCAAGGTGTGTTTGGAGCAGATGTTCCCCGAGGACCAGGCTCTCCTGGACTGGGTGCTGAGCCAAGTGCAGGCCGATAGGGCCCTGTACCTGATGTGCACCGTCCCAGCCTTCTGCAGGCTCACGGGGGCGGCGCTGGGCCACCTGTGGCGCAGCAGGACGGGGCCCCAGGACAAAGAGCTGTGGTCCCCAAGGACCCTGTGTGAGCTCTACTCATGGTATTTTAGGATGGCCCTCAGTGGGGAGGGGCAGGAGAAGGGCAAGGCAAGCCCTCGTATCGAGCAGATGGCCCACAGTGGCCGCAAGATGGTGGGGACACTGGGTCGGCTGGCCTTCCACGGGCTGCTCAAGAAGAAGTACGTGTTTTATGAGCAAGACATGAAGGTGTTTGGGGTGGACCTCGCTCTGCTGCAGGGCACCCTGTGCAGCTGCTTCCTGCAGCGGGAGGAGACGCTGACATCCTCGGTAGCCTACTGCTTCACCCACCTGTCCCTGCAGGAGTTTGTGGCAGCCGCATATTACTATGGCGCATCCAGGAGGGCCATCTTCGACCTCTTCACCGAGAGTGGTGTGTCCTGGCCTAGGCTGGGCTTCCTCACGCATTTCAGGAGTGCAGCCCAGAGGGCCATGCAGGTGGAGGACGGGAGGCTGGACGTGTTCCTGCGCTTCCTCTCTGGCCTCTTGTCTCCGAGGGTCAACGCCCTCCTGGCCGGCTCCCTGCTGGCCCAAGGCGAGCACCAGGCCTACCGGACTCAGGTGGCTGAGCTCCTGCAGGGCTGCCTGCGCCCTGATGCCGCTGTCTGTGCACGGGCCATCAACATTCTGCACTGCCTGCAGGAGCTGCAGCACACGGAGCTGGCCCGCAGCGTGGAGGAGGCCATGGAGAGTGGGGCCCTGGCTGGGCTGACTGGCCCCGCGCACCGTGCCGCCCTGGCCTACCTCCTGCAGGTGTCTGATGCCTGTGCCCAGGAGGCCAACCTGTCCTTGAACCTCAGCCAGGGCGTCCTTCAGAGCCTGCTGCCCCAGCTGCTCTATTGCCGGAAGCTCAGGTGGGCGCCGAGGCAGGGGTCAGGGGCTGGGGGAGGGGCAGAGGAGAGAGCATCCCTTCCCCACCACCGTGCTTCTCTATCAATCAGTCTCCTAAGGCTGCCGTAACAGAGAACCATGAACTTGGTGGCTTAAAACAACTAAAGTGTGTTTTCTTGCAGTTCTAGAGGCCAGAAGTCTCAAATCAAGGTGCCAGGAGGGCCACACCCTCTCTGAAATGTGTAGGAGACGTTCCTTCCTTCCGCTCTAGCTTCTGGCACCTTGGCTTAAGGCTGCGTTACTTCAATCTCTGTCCCGTCTCATGGCCATCTTCTCCCTGTGTCTGTCTCCACATGGTGCTGTCCTCTCTTTTTTGAGACGGAGTCTTGCTCTGCCACCCAGACTGGAGTACAGTGGCCTGACTTCAGCTCACTGCAAACTTTGCCTCCTGGGTTCAATTGATTCTCCTGCCTCAGCCTCCCGAGTAGCTGGGATTACAGGAGCCCGCCACCACGCCTGCCTAATTTTTGTATTTTTAGCAGAGGTGGGGTTTCACCATGTTGGCCAGGCTGGTCTCGAACTCCTCACCTCAGGTATCCACCTACCTCAGCCTCCCAAAATGCTGGGATTATGGGCGTGAGCCACCGCACCTGGCCAGTACTGTTGTCTCTTAAAAAGACACCGTCATACCCAATTACAGCCCCACCCCACTCCACCATGACCCCACCTTAATAAAGCACATCCACAATGACCCCATTTCTCAATAAAGCCACATACTTGGGGCACTAGGGGTTAGGACTTCATATCTTTTGGGGAAGGGACACAATACAATTTATAACCCTCTCAAAACCATCCAGTCTGACAGAAGCTGTACCCACTGAATGTTCTCAGCCCGTCCCCCACCTGCCACTCTGGACCTTAGTGAGTAGGGAGGAAAGGATGCAGGCTGAGGGTCATCCAGGTGTCCCTCAAGGCAGGTGGTATATGGGGTGGTGAGAACGACAGCCCATGGAAGATGTCTTTCTGCGTAGGAATCTCAAATCTCATGGGCACCGAGCCTCCCGTTCACTCTCACGGGAAAGGTCTGAGCACTGGGGCTGTGCACAGATTTCAGAGCTGCGGTAATGGCACTGCATGGGATAGAGAGAGGCAGAGGTTCTGGGCGGTGGGATACTCATTGTCACAGCTCCCCTTGGCCAGGCTGGACACCAACCAGTTCCAGGACCCCGTGATGGAGCTGCTGGGCAGCGTGCTGAGTGGGAAGGACTGTCGCATTCAGGAGATCAGGTAACACAGAGCCAGGGGACCCCCAGGGTGCCCATGGTCTTGTGGGGTATGGAACCCTCTTCCCATCACCTTCTGCTCAGCTGGCCAGCAGTGCTGCCATGGAGAGGTGTCTTTGGAGCATGTGGCTCCAGATGTAGCCTGCTTGTTTCTGCCCAGTTCCAGAAAGTGCCAGAGTGCCTCAGGTACTTCAGCAGCAGGAAGAGGGAGGTGATCTGGCAAGGACTGGACCCCGTCATGCATGGGCAGGGGTTTCTACAGCACTACATGTGCTGACGTAACAGCAGGCATGATGTTCTCTAAGCGCCTCTCCAAGTTTGCTATCCAATAGCATTGTAGGCACAGGATTGCATTTTTTTTCCCCCTGAGACAGAGTCTTGCTCTGTCGCCCAGGCTGAAGTGCAGTGGTACAATCTCCGCTCACTGCAACCTCTGCCTCCCAGGTTCAAGCAATTCTCCTGCCTCAGCCTCCCAAGTAGCTGAGATTACAGGCCTGCACCACCAGGCCTGGCTAACTTTTGTATTTTAGTAGAGATGGGGTTTCACCATCTTGGCCAGGCTGGTCTTGAACTCCTGACCTCAGGTGATCCACACACCTTGGCTTCCCAAAGTGCTTGGATTACAGGCATGAGCCACCACGCTGGCCCAGGATTGCAATTTTAATTTAAATTGAAAATTTTACATTTAAAATTTAATTAAAAATTAGTTTCAAGTTTAATTCTAAATCAATATAAACTGAAAACTGCATCTTTAATGTTGCAATTAGACAAAAAGTTCCTATGCTGTGTGCTTATGAAATCTCTCCTGGAATAACATTCCCGGATCTGAGAAACTAAACGCACCTGGGGTTTGTGGTTGAATCAATGTGACTGATCCTCTAAAGGTGGCTTTTGGAGACTTAGGGAGGTGAGTTTGGAGAAGAGGACCCAAAGGGTCTTCTTTTTTTTTTTGAGACAGAGTCCTGCTCTATCACCCAGGCTAGAGAGCAGTGGTATGATCTTGGCTAACTGCAAACTCCACCTCTCGGGTTCAAGGAATTCTCCTGCCTCAGCCTCCTGAGTAGCTGGGATTACAGGCGCCCACCACCACACCCGGCTAATTTTTGTATTTTTAGTAGAGGTGGGGTTTCACTATGTTGGTCAGGTTGGTCTCACACTCCTGATCTCAGGTGATCCATCTGCCTCAGCCTCCTGAAATGCTGGGATTACAGGTGTGAGCCACTGCACCTGGCCCCAGGGGGTAATTCTTTGTTCTCATATAAGCCTCTGGGTTCTAAAATAATCTTTATCCGAGTTAATGGCAATTTAGACTGATTCAGGAACAAAAATAAATCACTGGGGAGTGCGGTTAGAGGTGTAGGCTCTGTGTGAGTTTGAACAAGTCATTTCTGTGTCTAAAGAGGGTAAAAATGGGGTTAAAAGGATATCTAGGCCAGGTATGATGGCTCACGGCTTAATCGCAGCACTGTGGGAGACGAATCACTTGAAGTCAGGAGTTCGAGACCAGACTGTTCAAACTGGTGAAACCCCATCTCTACTAAACATACAAAAATTAGCCGGGTATGGTGGTGTGTCTGTGTAATCCATGCTATTCAGGAGGTTAAGGCAGTAGAACTGCTGAGTCAGGGAGGCAGAGGCTGCAGCGAGCCAAGATTGCACTACTGCACTCCAGCCTAGGCAACAGAGCAACAGTCTGTCTCAAAAGGAAAAAAAAGTCCAGGCACGGTGTCTCACGCCTGTAATCCCAGCACTTTGGGAGGCCGAGGTGGGTGGATCACAGGTCAGGAGTTTGAGACCAGCTTCCTGACCAACATGGTGAAACCCTATCTCTATTAAAAGGAAAAAAAAAAAAAAAAAAAAAAAAAAAAAAAAAAAAAAAAAAAAAAAAAAAGAAAAAGAAAAGGAATGACAAATTCTCATTGTTAGTATTTTTTCCTTTGTGAGAGCCTCGAGCATTTTTAGCACATGATAAAGTAGCCAACTTTTAGTTTTGCTTAAAGGAGGCTAGGTAGTGCTCAGAAATTAAATCCAGGCACAGCGGCTTCTTCTTATAAGCCTAGCAGTTTGGAAGGTGAAGATGGGAGGACTCTTTGAGGCCAGGAGTTCAAGATCAACCTGGGAAACATAGCAAGAGGCCATCTTTACTAAAAATAAAAATAAAAGTGAATTATTCCGAATGAAGCTAAAAATTTCTTCTCTGCCCACATGCTCTTCTTTACCTCTCTGTAGTTGATCCTCAATGCTACATCCCTATTTGACCTATAAGTTAAACACAACTTAGAAAATACCATAAAAGTCCTGGGGGAGGCTACGCGTTGTGGCTCAACCCCTGTAATCTCAGTACTTTGGGTGTATCATGAGGTCAGGAGATCAAGACCATCCTGGCTAACATGGTGAAACCCCTTTTCTACTAAAAATACAAAAAAAAATTAGCTGGGCATGGTGGGAGTATTTACACCATGGAAACTGGCAGATGCTACAAATCAGTTTGATAGCATTTGTTTTGTGCGTTTATGTTTTTTGTTTTGAGACATGGTCTCGCTGTGTTGCCCAGGCTGGAGTGCAGTGCCATGATCATGGCTCATTGCAGCCTCAACCTTCTGGGCTAAATCCTCCTTCCTCAGCCTCCCAAGTAGCTTAGACTATAGGCAAGTCACCATATCTGGCTAATTTTTATTATTATTATTTTTTGTAGAGACAGGATCTTCCTATGTTGCCCAGGCTGGTCTCAAACTCCTGGTTTTAAGTGATGCTCCTACCCTGGCCTCCCAAAGTACTGGGATTATATAGGGGTGAGCCACCATGTACACCCCAGCTTTCTAAATGTTATTTTTCCTGAGGGCTAGTTTACCAGCACACCACTGGCTGTGATCTGCATTAGGCTTCTGAGATATCCATTTTCTTTGCTGTGGTGTTAGTATAGAAGCTATTGTGCTGGATTCTGGCAAAACTTTTTCCTGGGACCCTTTGCCATTGGGAGGCTTGGTCCTCCCACTCTGGCCCTACGGTGCCCAGGCTCAGGGGCTCTGCAGTACCTGGCATTCTGCTCCAGGGATCACCTCATCTCCACCTATGTTCAGACCCTGATGATATGGGGAGGCCTAGAGGATCAATCATGGGCATAGCATTGAGAAAGGGCCATGAGATGTGCATGCCCGAAATAACCACTTGCTCCCTCTCCTTGGGCAGCCTGGCGGAGAACCAGATCAGTAACAAAGGGGCCAAAGCTCTGGCCAGATCCCTCCTGGTCAACAGAAGTCTGACCTCTCTGGAGTAAGTAGGACAACCAAGGCTGGACTTTCACCATTGGAACCAGAAGAGTTGTGAGGCTTCTTGCAAAGTCCCCTCATCTCTATTAAATGACTGGGGTCTTACCTGTCTGTCCTTCCCTGATTCTCATGATTCAGCCCCTGGGTGGCATCTGGACATAATACTCATACTTCATGTGGAGCAGCTTCTAAGACTCCTGTGGGAGTAAAACACAGGGAGCCCACACCTTAGTGCCCAGGAAGGACAGCGAGCAGAACCATGGCTCCTCAGTTGCTGGGCTCCAGCCAGGGAAGAACCAGATGTTTGGCCCTGCACCTGGGGCCATCATTCTCATCTCCACACTTGGCCCAAGCCCACTAGTCCATCAGGTCCTGTTTTCTTTCCCCAACACTTGGGATAGTCTTGGGGAAACTCCTTCCGTGTTCATATAAGGATCTCTGCCCTGGTTCCACCAAACATGAGATCCTAGGCCCTCATACATTCCCTTAGAGCATCATGGATTTCAAGGTCAATGCAGTTCCTGTTTCCCCTTCCCTCAATGGGAGACAGACGAAGGCATCTCTTTCTCTCTTTCTTCCTTCAGCCTCCGCAGTAACTCCATTGGACCACAAGGGGCCAAGGGACTCGCAGATGCTCTGAAGATCAACCGCACTCTGACCTCTCTGAAGTATGTGTCACCTGCTCCCTGTCTTGTGACCCCAAGAGAGGGCCCAGAAAACCCGCTCCTCAGGCGCAATGTATGAGAGTGGGAGGTGATTCACGATGGTGGGCATGGGGCCAGGCGTGGTGACTCATGCCTGTAATACCAACACTTTGGGAGGACGAGGCGGGTGGATCGCTTGGGGTCAGGAGTTTGAGACCAGCCTGGCCAACATGGTGAAGCCCTGTCTCTACTAAAATACAAAAATTAGCTGGGCATGGTGGCAGGTGCCTGTAATCCCAGCAAGTCGGAGGATGAGGCAGGAGAATCTCTTGAACCTGGGAAGCAGAGGTTGCTGTGAGCTGGAATCACGCCACTGCACTCCAGCCTGGGTGACAGAGCGAAACTCCGTCTCAAAACAAACAAAGATGGCAGTCATGGGATACCGGCTCCCATCCCATTGGGTGCTGGGGATCTTGTGCCTTAAGCAAGTTTCCAGGCTCCAGATCTTCCCTAGACTTTGACCTTGTGTGTGGGCTGAGGAGGGGACAGAGGAGACATCAGGGAGCAGTATGTAGAGATGGAAGGGCAAAATCACCTGTTAGGGAAACCTCCTGTGCTGCAATGAAGAGGAAATCCCCAAGGCCATGGTGTCAAAATTTTCCCTTGCGGTATTTTCCAGGACATAAAAAGCCCACTTTCTTTTTTTTTTTCTTTTTTAAAGACGGGGTTTCACCATGTTGGTCAGGCTGGTCTTGAACTCCTGACCTCAGGTGATCCGCCTGCCTTGGCCTCCAGGGTGCTTGGATTACAGGTGTGAGCCACCACGCCCGGCCAAAAGCCCACTTTCCAGAAGGTGCCTATGGTGTGATGTGGTTTGTTATGTCTCCTTTTTGAGATGGAAACTTGCCCTTTCACCCAGGCTGGAGTGCAGTGGTTCAATCTCGGCTGACTGCAAACTCTGCCTCCTGGGTTCAAGCAATTCTCCTGCCTCAGCCTCCCAAGTAGCTGGGACTATGGGTGCGTGCCACCACACCTGGCTTTTTTTTTTTTGTATTTTTAGTAGAGATAGGATTTCACCATGTAGGCCAGGCTGGTCTTGAACTCCTGCACTCAAGCGATCCACCCACCTCGGCATCCCAAACTGCTGGGATTACAGGCATGAGTCACCACACCCAGCCTGTTATGTCTCCTTTAAGAGCCTATGGTTGTATCTATCCTTAGTTGAGTGGGTACTACTTTTCTGTTCTGTGTTTTCATTCATTTATTTTTATTAGAGTGAAATTCATGTAAGATAAAACTGTCCCAGAGGCTGATGCCTATAATCCCAGCACTTTGAGAGGCCAAGGCAGGTGGATCACTTGAGGTCAGAATTTCAAGACCAGCCTGGCCAACATAGCAAGACCCTATCTCTATAAAAATTAAAAAGAAAAATTAACCAGGCACGATGGCAGGTGCCTGTCGTCCTAGCTACTCAGGAAGCTGAGGTTGAGTTGAGCCCAGGAGCTGGAGGTTGCAGTGAGCCGAGATCACACCACCACACTCCAGCCTGGGCAACAGAGCAAGACTCCATCTCAAAAAAACAAAAACAAAAAACCTGATTGTTTTAAAGTATACAGTTCAGTGGCATTTAGTACATTCCCAGTGTTGTGCCACCAATCACCTCTGTCTAGTTCCAGAATATTTCAGCACCCCAAAAGGAGACCTCATACCCATAAGCAGTCACTTCCCATTATCCCTTTTCCCCAGTCCCTGGCAACCACTAATCAGCTTCCTGTCTCTAAGGATTTACCTATCCTGGACATTTATGTAAATAGATTTATAGAGTCTGGCCTTTGGTGTTTGTCTTTCTTCCTTGAGCATGATTTTTTAAACTTCATTCATGTGGTACCATGTGCCAATGCTTCCTTCCATTTTAACTTATTGTTATTATTATTATTGAGACAGAGTTTTGCTCTTGCTGCCCAGGCTGGAGTGCAATGCTGTCATCTTGGCTCACTGCAACCTCCACCTCCTGGGTTCATGCAATTCTCGCCTCAGCCTCCCGAATAGCTAGATACAGGCATGTGCCACCACTCTCGGCTAATTTTTTATTTTTAGTAGATATGTGGTTTCTCCATGTTGATCAGGCTGGTCTCGAACTCCCGACCTCAGGTGATTCGCCCTCCTCAGGCTCCCAAAGTGCTGGGATTATAGACGTGAGACACCACACCCAGCTACTTTATTTTTTTGAGATGTCTCACTTTGTCACCCAAACTGGAGGGCAGTGGCAGTATCTCGGCTCACTCAACCTCCACCTCCCAAGTTCAAGCGATTCTCCTGTCTCAACTCCCCGAGTAGCTGGGATTACAGGCTTGTGCCACAATGCCCAGCTAATTTTTATATTTTTAGTAGAGATGGGGTTTCACCATGTTGGCCAGGCTGGTCTCGAACTGCTGACCTCAAGTGATCCACCTGCCTCAGCCTCCCAAAGTGTTGGGATTAAAACTGTGAGCTGCTGCAACGGCGTCTTACCTCCATTTTAAGGCTGAATCATACATATTCCATGGGATGGACAGACCCTGATGTGTTGATCCATTCATCCGATGATGGCCATTTGGGCTGTTTCTACCTTTTGGTTATATGAATAATGCTGCTGGTTATATGAATAATGCTATTCAATAATGCTAAGCAATAGTATTTGGTTATATGAATAACGCTGCTGTGAGCATTGGTAAACAAGTCTTCCTGTGCCTGTTTTCAATTTTTTTGAGTATATACTGAGGAATGGAATTGCTGGGTCACATGGTCACCCTGTGTTTAACCTTTTAAGGACCTGCCAGACCATGTTCCATGGAGACCGGACCATTCTGCATTCCTACCAGCAGTGTGAGGGTTGCAGTTTCTCCGTATTCTCACCAACACTTGGATCCTGTGTCTTTCCACTATAATGAGGACCACTGATGACCTTGTTGTGGTTATTCAGAGAGCACTTTGTTCCTAGCTGGCCAGCAAACACTCAGCAAACCAAAGAAAAACCTAAGCCGCAGGCAGTGGGGCAAAGGGCCAACTGCTCTCCCAGCATGGTGGGCAGTGAGGGCACATAGTGGTCAGAGTTCCTTCTCACTCAAGTTGGCTGATGTCCCCTCTTGGGCATCGGTGACTCTGGGGTACCTTGCTCCATAGAGGTGCCCCACTGCGGAGAGGGTTCAAGCCCCTGGGTTCCAGCTTCTGCTCCATCAGTGATGTGCCTCTTCTTGTATCTGCAGCCTCCAGGGCAACACCATCAGGGATGATGGTGCCAGGTCCATGGCTGAGGCCTTCGCCTCCAACCGGACCCTCTCCGTGCTGCAGTGAGTGGACACATCTCTCCCTATCCCTCCCCTTCTACCTCTCCCTCCTCCTTCAAGCATCTCTCTGCCTATTGGCTCCTAGGAAGAATGGATGGGGCTAGGACCTGAGGCCTTCTGACCTGTCTGGATGGCCCCTGGAAAACCTGATGCCCTCTGCTTTTGAGAGAGCAGGTGTTGGGGAAATAATTAAAAATAAAACCTCCTGGCTGGGCACCTTGGGAGGCCAAGGTGGGTCAGTAGTTTGAAACCAGTCTGGCCAAAATGGTGAAACACCGTCTCTACTAAAATAAATAAATAAATAAATAAATAAATAAAATAACCAGGCATGATGGCACAAACCTGTAGTCCCAGCTACTTGGGAAGCTGAGGTGAGAGAATCACTTGAACCCGGGAGGTAGAGGTTGCAGTGAGCTCACATCACGCCACTGCACTCCAGCCTGGGCAACAGCAAGACTGTCTCAAAAAATAAAATTAAAATATAAAATTAAATAGGCTGGGTGCGGTGGCTCACGCCTGTAATCTCAGCACTTTGGGAAGCCAAGGCGGGCGGATCACAAGGTCAGGAGATCAAGACCATCCTGGCTAACATGGGGAAACCCCGTTCTACTAAAAATATGAATAATTAGCCAGGTGTGGTGGCATGTGCCTGTAATCCCAGCTACTTGGGAGGCTGAGGCAGAAGAATCGCTTGAACCTGAGAAGCAGAGGTTGCAATGAGCCGAGATCACACCACTGCACTCCAGCCTGGGCGACAGAGTGAGACTCTGTCTCAAATATATATATATATATATATATATATATATCTCCTATCTATCTATCTATCTATCTAGATGGATAAATAGATTTTCTGGGTTGGCAGGAGGTATCTCATATCTATCTAGATAGATAGATAGATAGATAGATAGATAGATAGATAGATAGATAGATATGAGATACCTCCTGCCAACCCAGAAAATCCTCTCCAAAAATGTAGGACAGAAAACAACAATTTTATTATTGAATAAACATTAAACTGACTGCAAGGTGCATCAGAGGCAACCCATCAACAAGAGTGTAAAGACACAAAGTTTGCTTTTCTTTTCTTTTCTTTTTTTTTTAAAGATGGGGTTTTACCATAATGGCCAGGCTGGTCTTGAACTCCTGACCTCAGGTGATCCACCCACCTCGGCCTCCCAAAGTGCTAGGATTACAGGCATGAGCTAGAACCAAGCAGATAGGACCCTCCTCCTCAGGCAAGAGGGCCAGGCAGCACCATTTGCCGTTCATCCTAGATACACCAGATAATTGGAGTGGCCATTTGTGGTCCCTAATTGCCTTTATCCAAAGGAAAAGTAAAACTTCTTTTATCTTTATGACACACAGGTACTTTACAGCTTCAAGCCAGGTGCCTAACCTAATTCCCACGAAGGCAGGGAGAGAGGGACTCTATTTTCCTTAATATTTACATTTCAAAGAGATGACTCCAAACCCTTACAAAAGACATTCCCTAGTGCAGTTGTCATTTAAAAAAAAGAAAAAGAAAAAAGAAGAAAAGACATTCCCAGGCTGTGAAACTGGCCAGAGGGTTTTAGAAAGATTTACATTCATCTTAAAGGGACAGAGGCAGCATTTGCAACCTCGTTTTCTCAGGGAGTGCTCTAAGAAAATGGGGGTTGGTAGAGAGTCTCTTTCCTTTCTGGAACCAGAAAAATTGCCATTTTTTTAGATTTGTATTGAGCCTCACACAGGAGAGGTTCTGCCTGTCTGTCCTGTGGAATGAGGACAGTGTTTCTCCTGTAAATCCACCAGATTTACTACAAGAGGAAGTACATTTTTCAGAAGAGGAACCTAAGCCAGGGTCTCCCTAGGGAGGGGTGGGAGGCAGCCTGCTGGTCTGGATGGGAGGCAGACTGGTGAGGGAGGGGCCAGAGAGACTTGTCCATGGAGGTCCCAACTCAGGAGGTTGGTGGGCATTATCAGCACCTGCTGATCTCTGCTTTCTAGCCCCTTGCAAGGGAGGCCCAGCTGCCCTGAACCCTTACTCTCTCACATCGTAATGTCGGTCTATTATCATCACTTAGGCAACAGTCCAAAGACCCTTCTAGAGACACCCCCTCCAACCTGCTGCAGTAAATGAAGAGGGCACCCTAGTTGTCCCTGACCTTGAACCTGAACTGTCCTTGGGCTGGGAGTGGCTGTGACCAGCCTTCCTGAAAGATCGCTCTCTTCTCCCACAGCCTGCAGAAGAACGGCATTGGGCCCACAGGAGCCCAGTGGATGGCAGATGCCTTGAAGCAGAATAAGAGTCTGAAGGAGCTCATGTGAGACATATAAAAGGGCCACACTCAGTGCCCAGCACAATGCCTGACCCAGCACAAATATTTTTGAGCCTGGGAGTGGATGGATGAATGGATGGATGGACTGTTAAATAAATGGATGGGTGGGTAAATGGACTGATGGATAGGTGGATGAATAGATGGAAGGGTGAATGAGTGAATGAATGGATAAACTGATGAGCTGATGGATGGATAAGTGGATAGATAGATGGATGGATGTAAAGTGGATGTATGGGTGGGTGAATGGATGGATGGGTGGGTAGGGGTGGATGGGTAGGCAGGTGGATGGGTGAAAGAATGGATAAATGGATGAGTAGATGGATGGATGAGTGGCTTGATGGATGGGTGAATGGATAGATAGATGGATGGTTGAATGAATGAGTGGATGAATGGCTGAGTGAATGGATAGATAGATGGATGAATGGATGGACTGTAGATGGGCAAATGGATGGATGGGTGGGTAGATGAGTGGATGGATAAATGAACTGATGGGTGAGTGGATTGATGGATGGGTGAATGGATGGATGGGTGGGTAGATGGATGGATGGGTGGGTAGATGGATGGATGGATGAATGTATAAATGGATGAGTGGGTGGATGGATGGATGGGTGGGTAGGTGGATAAGAGGGTGTGTGAATGAATGAATGGGTGAGTGGATGGATGGATGAATGGATAGATGGTTTAATTAATGGATGGATGGATAGTTGGGTGGATGGTTGAATGGATGGATGGATGAGTGGAAGGACAGATGGATGGATGGATAAGTGGATGAATGGATGAGTTGATGGGTGAGTGGACTGATGAACGGATGAATGGATGGGTGAATGAATGAGTAGATGAATGAGTGGATGGATGGAGGGATGGATGGGTGGGTATGTGAATGAATGGATGAATGGGTAGATGAGTGGATAAATGGATGGCTGAATGGGTGGATGGATGGATGGATGGATGAGTGGATGGATCAACAGGTGAGTGGATAGATGAATGGTTGAATGAATGAGTGGATGAATGGGTGGGTGGGTGAATGGATGAATAAATGGATGTGTGGGTAGATAAGTGGATGGACACATGGCTGAATGAGTGGATGAATGGGTGAGTGGACAGACGGATGGACAAATGGATGGATGGGTAGATGAGTGGATGGATAAACAAACTGATAGGTGAGTGGACTGATGAGTGGATGGGTAGATGAGAGGATGAATGGGTAAGTGCGTGGGTGGGTAGGTGGCTATATGGATAAATGACTGGAAGAATGGATAGATGGATTTATAAATGAGTGGGTGGGTGAATGGATAAACTGATGGGTGAGTGGATGGATGGACGCGTGGGTACTGGTTAGATGGCTTTGGACTCCAAAAGCACTAAGCTCAGGAGAATGGAGATTCCCAGGATTGGGTGAACCTGAGAAGGTAGAAGAAAACATTTCCTCACCATATTCACAAAAAGTCCCCAAAATACTTATCACTAAAGGGCTGACCCTCCTTGCCAGGGAGTCAAGGAGGACTTTGCTACTCTGATGTTTTACAGGCAACAGGTGGTTCACCTGCAGAGACTACAGCCAACAGGCCTCAAGCAGAACAAACTGCACTGGCCACCCTATAGACAACAGAGCCAACCCTCCCATGAGGGCTTCCCTGACCCTGATCCCTCCACCTAGCCCTGCCTGGCAGTTCCCGGATGTTGGCTCATCCATATCCCTTCTCTTGCAGGCTCTCCAGTAATAGTATTGGTGATGGAGGTGCCAAGGCCCTGGCTGAGGCCCTGAAGGTGAACCAGGGCTTGGAGAGCCTGGAGTGAGTCCACCTGACCCCTGCCAGGGTGACAATTCCCCCTGGATTCTCCTTTCAGTAGATGGCAGGCTGGCAGTCCTGAAAAATGGCTGTCCCCCAGGGCCATTTCCCTGTCAGCACCAACCCTGGGCACACACTGTCCTCAGTCTCCCCTGCCCCACCGACTCCATTTCCCTAGACAGTGGGGGCTGGGGTAGGGTCTCGAGTGTTTGGAATGATGAGTTCCAAGTGCCCTTGAGAAGCCAGCATAAGTGGCTGGAGAGGTAGTCAGCTGCAGCAGCTTTGGTGGGGGGCAGGAGAGCTCAGTGCTGCACCCACACGTGGGGAACCTGCTGTGCCACTCCCTCTGGGGGCTGCAGACCCAACACACCCTGCTCCGAGGCTGTCTGGGTCCAGCCACATCAAGGGAGGGTTTGAATTTGGGGGCTTGTTGTGCTAAACCCACGTGCCCTGACCTGGCAGGGGCTAGAAGGTGGGGGGGATGGGAGAGTAAAGAGGGATGAGGAAAGGAGCAGTGTGGGTACCACTGTCCCTGGGGCCCCCAACTCCCTGTTGAACCTAGTGCCTCCTGTCCCAGACTGGACAGGGCAGCTCCCTCTGCGTCCTGGGACGGCCACACCCAGGGCGCCTTCTCCTCCGTCCACAGCCTGCAGAGCAATTCCATCAGTGACACGGGAGTGACAGCACTGATGGGGGCCCTCTGCACCAACCAGGCCCTCCTCAGCCTCAGGTAGGTCCTGGCTGCCCTCTCTGACCAGGGTGTTTCTTTGATTGGGTGCCTGTCTGCAGGGACTTGGTGCTGGGAAGCCTGTCTCAGGGAAATCTATGGCTGAGGAAGCCTTCCTGGCAGCCTGGCCCTCTTCCTGCTCTCTTGGGGTGCAGGGGACAGCTGCTGCCCTCAGTGGCTCTTTCTGCCACTCTCTTCACAGATACAGCCTCAGCCTCCTGTCCCCTTGCACCTCTGGGGCCCTGTTGTCCTGTCCACTCCCTGTACTGTAGATGGTCCTACAGCAGGGGCGCCTGGCTGGCCCAGCACTGGTTAGCTGGCATCGACTCCTTCAGACCTCAGACTAGACTGTACAGAACCCTACGTCCCCCACCTGCGGTGTCTTGGGCTTTGAGAAGCCTAAACACCTGGGCTTGGCTCTGCCAGATGCCTCCTCTGCCCGATTAGAAGCTCAGGTCTTTTGTTTCAGCCTTCGAGAAAACTCCATCAGTCCCGAGGGAGCCCAGGCCATCGCGCGTGCCCTCCGTGCCAACAGCACCCTGAAAAACCTGGAGTACGTGGTGGGGGCCTGTGCCTCTGAAGGCTGTTCATTCCACGGTCACACCCACACTGACCCTGGGCTGACGGGCACCCTCGCCACATCACAGGGTTGGAGAAAGAGCTGGCTGGGGAGGGCACAGCCAGGAATCTGGCATCGGGTGGCAAGTCCCCCACTCTCATAGTGTAAATGGCACAAGGGTGAGGCTGGTGTGACACCATCTGCCTCACCTGGTGGGGATGGATGAGGATGGGGCCATGCCACTGGACAGCGCATCCCCAGGAAGCTCCCCCACGTCCTGGCAGTGTGACCTTGCATCAAGCCATAGACTCCCTGGTGACCAAGGACCAGAGGCTTCACGGTCAGCCCCCTTGGCTCACTTGCTCCTGTTCCTTTCCTCCTAGCCTGACAGCCAACCTCCTCCACGACCAGGGTGCCCAGGCCATTGCAGTGGCAGTGAGAGAAAACCGCGCCCTCACCTCCCTTCAGTGAGTCTGCAGCTTTCCACCCTGTTGTGTATCCCTTCTGCAGAGCTGAGGGGCTCCACCCAAAACAACAATGTACAGGCCAAGCCTGGTTTGGGGGCACCCCCTGCAAAGGTCTCAGTGGCTGCCCTGCTGCCAGCAGGCTGTGTCCCATCCTGTGTTCTCCTGATCCACAGACAGACACGTGTTAAGAGGTAGTCACAGCAGGGCCTCCAGGTGCCCATGGGGTTTCATGCAGGGGCCATTTTGCTGTGTCTTTCCTTGCTTAGTCCCCAGCCCTCTGACCATGGCTAACCAGGGAGTACACGTGAACCTCTGGGGACTAAGCCTGGGTGGGGGTTGCAGGAATTCTCCTGCCATATCCTGCAGGGATTCCGACCCCGCCATCAAAGCCCCCTTAGCTCTGCCCCAGAGCCACGCAGTCACATGTGTCTGTGTCTGTCCAGCCTGCAGTGGAACTTCATCCAGGCTGGCGCTGCCCAGGCGCTAGGACAAGCATTACAGCTCAACAGGAGCCTCACCAGCCTAGAGTAAGTTGGCCTGACCAGGGGCTGTGGGGGGCAGAGGAATCTGAAAACTTGGTGCCCACCAGGCAGAGGCTCAATTCAGTAACCCTTGGCACACAGCCTCCTCTTCCCTAAGGCCAGCGGGCACATTTCAGTCCTTGATCCACCTGCCTTTTAAATACATTAGCTGGGGATGGAGGCTCATGCCTGTAATCCCAGCACTTTGGGAGGCTGAGGCAGGTGGATCACCTGGTCAGGAGTTCAAGATGAGCCTGGCCAAACGGCGAAACCCTGTCTCTACTAAAAATACAAAAATTAATCGGGTGTGGTGGCGCATGCCTAGCTACTCGGGAGGCTGAGGCAGGAGAATTGCTTGAACCCATGAGGCACAGGTTGCAGTGAACTGAGATCATGTCACAGCACTCCAGCCTGGGTGACAGAGCAAGACTCCATCTCCAAATATATATATATATATATGTGTATACACACACACATATATATGTGCATATATACATATATACAACAGCTGTCAGATATAATCTTCAAGCCAGAAGATCCACCCACTTAGTGTATAATTCACTGGTTTCTGGTGTATTCAGTGATGCAACAATCACAATCAATTTTACATTTCTATCACCCCAAAAATAACCCCTGCCCCCATCAGCACTCACTACCCATTCTCCTTTTCCCCAACCCTGGCAACCACTAATCCACCATCTCCACGATCTTCCCACCCTGGACATTTCATATAAATGAAATTGTATAACATGTGGCCAAAAATGGAATCCCACAACATGTGGCCTTTTGTGGCTGGTGTCTTTCATCTGGTGTCAGATTTTCAAGGTTCATCCATGATGTAGCCTGTGTCAGTATGTCCTTCCTTTGTAAGGCTGAATGATACCCACTATGGGTAGACAGCTGTTATTTCTTCGTTCATCAGTTGCTGGACATTGGGTTGTTCCTCCGTAGCTGTTAGGAACGGTGCTGCTGTGGACATTGGGGCTCCAGTTTCTGTGTGGACATGAGCTTTCCTACTCCTGGGTGGATATACCTGGGAGTGGAATCGCTGGGGCGTGTAGGAACTCTAGGTTTAAACCTTGGAGTCTCATCGGCCTTTCTCCTCGAGCATTTCTTCTCCTTCAGCTTCCAGGATGTCCTCTCTGGCTGGGCCTTGCCCTCCTTTCTTCTGCTTACCTCTTCAGCACAGTCCTCCTCAGGGATCTGTCCCATGTCATCTTCCCTTGCCTGACGTCTCTCTTCTGGGAGCTCTCCTCTCCCAGGGCTCCAGTGACCTTCAAAGTCCCAACGACTCTCATATCTGTGTCCCAGGCCTCTCCCCTGAGCCGTGGACCTGCACATCCACACCCCCTCTGCACCTCCCCTCAGGGTCTCACCTCTCTCCTGAGCCCCAGACCTGCACGTCCACACCTCTTCCCCAAGTCCCCTTTGGGGTCTCACTTCTCTCCTGAGCCCTGGACCTGAGCTTCCACACTCCCACAGCACCTCCACTCAGGGTTTCGCAGGGGTGCAGGTTCCCTACATTCTCACTCCCAAAAACCTGCTTCTTGGTTCCCCATCTGATGAATGGAACCAACTATGCAAGCTAGAAACAATGCCTTCACTCTCACCTCCCACCTCCTTTCCTATCATTTTTATTATTTTATTTTTGAGATAGAGTCTCGTTCTGTCGCCCTGACTAGAGTGCAATGGCGTGATCTCAGCTCACTGCAACCTCTGCCTCCTGGGTTCAAGCAATTCTCCTGCCTTAGCCTCCCAAGTAGCTGGGATTACAGATGTCCAACACCGTGCCTGGCAAATTTGTGTGTGTGCGTGTGTTTTAGTAGAGATGGGTTTCACTGTGTTGGTCAGGCTGGTCTAGAACTCCTGATCTTTAAGTGATCCTCCCGCCTCAGCCTCCCAAAGTGCTGGGATTACAGGCATGAGCCACTGTGCCTGGCCTATAATTTATTTTTTAAAATATGTACAATTTTTTTTAAGAGATGGGGCCTCACTATGCTGCCCAGGCTGGTCTTGAACTCCTGGGCTCAAGCAATCCTCCCACCTTGGCCTCCCAAAGACCTGGGATTACAGGTGTGAGCCACTGTGCCTGGCCACCTCCTGCTTCCTATTCATTGTTAAGTCCTGTTGGATCCCCTCTGTGTCCCTGCCACCCACCCGACTCCCTCTGCTCCACTGCCACCACCCAGGCCATCAGCACTGCTCACCTCCATCCCCGTGGCAGCCTCCACTTCAGTCCATCCTCTCACGCTTCTGGCCAGAGACCTTTTCAGAACACAGCTCTGTCCCCGTCTTGGGTGCCAACCTTGAATGGCTGCCCAGGGCCTGCAGAGTAAAGTACATATAGGCCCTCTGGGTGGCTTCTGGGACCACTCAAATCTCCTTCTTTGTCCCTCCCTGGGCTAGTTTCTCACTCCCCCAATAACTGAATTCAATTTGTTTAGCTGAGCCAGGCCTGCTCTCCGCTTTGGGTTTTGACCTATTTCTTCTGGGGAGCCTTCTGTCACCACCCTGGGGTGGGAGATGCCGCTTGGGTTTTCCCTGCAACCTGCACTTGGCCTGATGTAACTGCTCATTTAATCACATCTTCCCACCTGAACTTCAAGAGAGTGACTTGGGCCTGCTGCCTTGCACAACACCTAGCACACGAGACACACTCAAATATTTTTTTTTTTTTGAGACAGTCTTACTCTGTTGCCCAGGCTGGAGTGCAGTGGCATGATCTTGGCTCACTGCAACCTCTACCTCCTAGGTTCAAGCTATTCTTCCTTAGCCTTCCTAGTAGCTGGGACTACAGGCGCCCTCCACCATTCCTGGTTAATTTTAGAATTTTTAGTAGAGATGGGGTTTCACCATGTTGGCCAGGCTGGTTTCAAACTCCTGACCTCAAGTGAGCCACCCACCTCAGCCTCCCAAAGTGCTGGGATTAAAGGCGTGAGCCACCACACCCTGCCACACTCAAATGTCTGTTAAAATAAGGAATGAAAACAGCTCTTAGCCTTAAATATACTAACATGCACTTGAGCTCCAGGGCCTGCTATTTTCCTCCAATTTAGAAGGGAAAAAATGACATAAAACCCTAATTAGCAAGAATGGCCAAGGAGATCGGGCGTGGTGGCTCACGGTTGTAATCCCAGCAATTTGGGATGCCGACGTAGGATTGCTTGAGCCCAGGAGTTCAAGACCAGCGTGGGCAACATAATGAGACCTCATCTCTATCAAAGAATAAAAACATTAGCTGGGGCCAGGTGCGGTGGCTCACGCCAGCACCTTGGGAGGCTGAGGTGGGTGGCTCACGAGGTCAGGAGTTCAAGACAAGCCTGGCCAAGATGGTGAAACCCCGTCTCTACTACAGGACAAAAAATTAGCCAGGCATGGTGGCGGGGGCCTGTAATCCCAGCTACTCGGGAGGCTGAGGCAGAGAATGGCTTAAAACCGGGTAGCAGAGGTTGCAGGCAGCCGAGATTGTGCCACTGCACTCCAGCCTGTACAATAGAGCTAGACTGTCTCAAAAAAAAAAAAAAAAAATTAGCTGGACACAGTGGCCTGTGCTTGTAGTCCCAGTCTCTAGTAAGTATTCCAGCCTTCTCAGGAGGCTGAGGTGGGAGGAGGTGGGAGGATCACTTGAGTCGGGGAGGTTGAGGCTGCATTCCAGCCTGAGTGGCAGAGTGACACCCTGTCTCAAGAGAAAACAAAACAAAGAACGGCTCCGGGATTGAGGGCTTTAAATTCATTTTCTGGTTGGCCATGAAAAGCATCCCCTTTTGTGTCCCAAGCCCCTGTCGACAGTCACTCCTTGTGTCCTATTTCCTGCTTGCCCCTGGCCGTTCAGGCTCAAGGCAGGCCACAGACACCTCTGTGTGCTGTGGAGGAAGGGTAGTTATCCCCAGGGAAACGCTGGGAGTCTATGTCTATGGTGTGTGTAGTCTGTCAAACCTGGCAGGTCCAAGTGGGGCAGGCCCTTGCTAGAATGCTCCCTATGCCCCATACACTTGAAGGGGTCACATTCTGTGTTCAGTTTACAGGAGAACGACATTGGGGATGACGGAGCGTGTGCGGTGGCCCGTGCGCTGAAGGTCAACACAGCCCTCACCGCTCTCTAGTAAGTCCTAGATGTGTGTGGCAGCCAGGAAGCCTGGCCCCTTCACAATCCTTTCATGTTACATGTCTTTTTGGTTTGCTTTTTTCCAAGACAGAGTCTTGCTTTGCCACCCAGGCTGGAGTGCAGTGGCGCAGTCTTGGCCAGCTGTAACCTCCGCCTCCTGGGTTCAAGTGATTCTCCAGCCTCCGCTACCCCCAAGTAGCTGGGATTACAGGAATGCACCACCACACTCAGCCTAATTTTTGTATTTTTAGTAGCAACGGGGTTTCACCATGTTGGCCAGGATGATCTCAAACTGCTGACTTCAGGTTATCTGCCCCCCTCAGCCTCCCAAAAGGCTGGGATTACAGCCGTGAGCCACTGTGCCCGGCCCAGACGTTATTTTTGTTTATAAGTCAAGGAAGGTATGTTTGATTTTCCTATTACAGAAAATATTCTATTAGCAATTCAAACACCTAGATGACAGTAATGAGGGGGTGCAGGGAGCAGTCTCCCCGAGCACTTCCAGGGAGAGCCTCTATTTCTCATCTCTTTCACATCCAGATCTCTGTCTTAGGCAACAGACAGTGTAGGTAAGAGACGGAGTGCCTAGACAGAGCGCTGGCCAGCCATTCTCAGTACTGTTTCTCCACTTTCTGCCCCGAGTCAAGGGGTGGTGAAAGGGAAGGGGGCCCAGCTGGCTCACACTGACGGCACCCTCCCCGGCCCAGTCTCCAGGTGGCATCCATTGGTGCGCCAGGTGCCCAGGTGCTAGGGGAAGCCCTGGCTGTGAACAGAACCTTGGAGATTCTCGAGTAAGTATTCTACTCTCCAACTATGGTCTTTAAACCAAAAGAAATCAGTGAAATCTCAATGAATAGATAAGGGGACAAAGTTTACAGGCAACTCGCAAATCATCCTAGTGACCTTCATTTCAAGGCAAGTGTGCCAGCTTCCCAGCCCCACTTCATGCCTTTCCCTGGGAGTTGCTATCGTTTGCCCTCCTCTCCAGGTTGGCCTTGCCAGGCTGGACACGTCTAGAGGCCTGGTTTATGGGTCCTGGGGTGGCTGATCTTGTTCTATGAGCAGATCCAAAATCCTGAGACAAGGCCACAGCTCTGAGGCTCAGGGGCGTCCTCAGAATCCCTGCCCTTGCTGTGTGCACTGGGGACCTGCCCGGAATGGAGGGCTGCCTCTCCTGTCTCAACCTCAATTTTCTGTTTGGTATGGAAGAGGAGGAAGGCTTCAACAACCCACCTGGCTGGGCCAGCCACGCCCCTTCCTATGTGCCCTGCTTCCCAGAGCCAGCTCTGTCCTGTTGCCTCGGAGTGAGGAAGGCATAGCCCTGGCCTTCTGTGACTGCTGAAGTCCTTGTTTCCTCTACCAAGTAGCCCCAAGCCCACCTGAAGAGGGTTCAGGATCACCTCTCACCCTGTACCCATGCCTTAGGCTTCCCGTCTTTCCCGACAGCTTAAGAGGAAATGCCATCGGGGTGGCTGGAGCCAAAGCCCTGGCGAATGCTCTGAAGGTAAACTCCAGTCTCCGGAGACTCAAGTAAGCAGCTGGAGGGACCTACCTGCATCCTGGAACAGCAGAGTCTCTGCTGGGTCCTCCCCGGTGGGATAAAATGCTCCCAATTTCCTCTGCAGCTACTTCCTTCTGAATATAAATAATCAGACTTATTAATATAGTCCACATTCCCCTGCAGTTGGGTTTTAGTCTGCTCAGCTTAAGTCAGAAGTCACTCCCATCTGCATTTATGGTGTTGCATCCTCTATGGCACTAGGGTGGGACGACCTGGCCATGCGTAGACACCTGTCTCCAAGGTCAGCTGCCATCTACAGTTGCCATGGCACTTGTGGACACATCAGCCTAGGTTACTGCCGCCAGACAATGCAGTGTTGCTTTCCTGGGTGTTTCCTTCTGCCCCAATGGCTCACCATGGTGGCTCCATCTTTTCTCTGCCTAGTCTTCAAGAGAATTCCCTGGGGATGGATGGGGCAATATTCGTTGCCACGGCACTGTCTGGAAACCACAGGCTCCAGCATATCAAGTGAGTGCACCTGCCCTTCCTGCTCGCCCTTAAAACTGCTTCCAGGTCACACCCTGGCTTTTGCCCAGGTCTGAGAGCCAGCTGACCCCCAGACCCCTCAAAAGCCCTATAGGGAAACCTGGTCTAAGGGGAGCCATCTTGAGCCTTGTCCATGGCAGGAATCCTAGAAGCACAAACTGCATTTTCTGTCGTGATAATCTGCTCTACTAAAGAGAACCTGCAGGCTTCCAGCCCTGCTTTAATCCATCTCTTCTAGTCTCCAGGGAAACCACATTGGAGACTCGGGGGCCAGAATGATCTCAGAGGCCATCAAGACAAATGCTCCCATGTGCACTGTTGAAATGTGAGCAAAATGAGTTCCTGGTGGATGGAGCAGGAGGATGGGCAGAGTCAGTTGGAAGCTGTTGAACAGAAAGGCCAACTTCTGGGGACCTTCCTGGGAGCTGGGAACGCTGCTCACTCAGCACGAGAGCCGGGCTCCGCACGGAAGAAGGAGAGATGCTGCCAAAGGAGGTCGTGAGCCCCTCTCCTAGTGCAGGAGTGGTCCAGGCAGGGGCCAACAGGTACTCTGCTACAGCACAGAGAATGGAGGGGGCCACCACCAAGGGACTAAGGGACAAAGGCCTGAAAGCTCGGCAGTGCAGGAGGCTAGTTCCAGCTTATTTACAACCTGAGGACTTCACATGCCCCGAACTCTTAAAAATGTTGATTACCGCCCCTTTCTACTCACCTGGTTAAAATCATCTCAAGCCTGTGAGAAGCATGCGTTTGGCAGGGGCGACAGAGGGGACCCTTCTTTCTTTTCTCAAGAAGGTTTTAGGGCATCATCCTTACAGACATGAAAAAATTATGGAAAAATTGTGAAGAAAAATTGAAAGTTTTAATTCTAGGATTCTAGAAACAGAGACAAGAGAATTTTTTTTTTTTTTAGACAGAGTCTCGCTCTTGTCACCCAGGCTGGAGTGCAGTCGTGCCATTTCAGCTCACTGCAGCCTCCGCCTCCCAGGTTCATGTGATTCTCCTGCCTCAGCCTTCCCACTTGTAGCTGGGATTACAAGTGCCCACCACCATGCCTGGCTACTTTTTGTATTTTTAGTAGAGATGAGGTTTCTCCATGTTGCCCAAGCTGGTCTTGAACTCCTGACCTCAGGTGACCCAGCAGCCTTGGCGTCCCAAATTGCTGGGATTACACGCGTGGGCTACTCCTGGCCCCATCTTTTATTCATTACAAAATCAAAGATGTGGTGATGCCTGGTACATGTTATCTGGAGTCTGGCACATTGGTTATCAGTAGCACATTCAATGTATTCAGTGATGTCTTTTTTTTTGACACAGAATCTCTGTTACCCAGGCTGGAGTGCAGTGGTACGATCTCGGCTCACTGCAGCCTCTGCCTCCTGGGTTCCAGTGATTCTCCTGCCTCAGCCTCCCAAGTAGTTGGGCCTACAGGTGTGCACCACCATGCCCAGCTAATTTTTGTATTTGGTCAGGCTGCTCTCCAACTCCTGACCTCAAGTGATCCACCCACCTCAGCCTCCCAAAGTGCTGGGATTAGAGGCATGAGCCACTGTGCTCGGCAGTGATGTCATTCCTTATTAGGCTTCCAAAGCCACTGCTGTGGCCATAGCTTCCCTATGGAGACAGGCAAGCTGAGCCTCTATGTGGCACCAATTCCCACAGCTGTTTGTGTTGGAAGGAAAAAAATCCAAATGGACATCACAGCTCTCATCAATTAAAGAACCAGAGAAAATGTTTATGAAGACTATAAAGCAATGATCACTTTTGAATTTGAAAGGAATCACACTATTGTTTAAAACGTTTCTTCAAAAGCGAGCATCCAGACTGGAATCATCATGGATGCTGAGGCCATGGATACAGGCCTACTTGGGAAGATGATATCCTCACAGTCTCAAAATAGCAACCCACAAAGGTGATATCCTAATTTACAAATGGAAAAAGGTACCTTCATCTAAAATCTGGCCAATGCAGCCTCAACAGAAGTGACAGAATTGAACATCGCTAATAATGGGACAAATGGATGTCACGTGCCTCCAGTCTGATGCACCACGGAGTCGTCTCTGACGTAGTCTTGTCAAAAAATGTTTGCCTGATTCTAATCATGAAGGAACAATTAGAAAAAATCCAAACTGATGGATATTCCGCAGAATAAAAGGCCTGACCTCATCAGAAACATCAATGTCATGAAAAACACGAAAGGTTGCAGATAGTGTGAATTAATTTAGTAGAGATATACCTTAATGCAAGATTTTTGGCTGGATCCTAGACTGGAGGAAAAAGTCTGCTATAAAGAACAGTTAGATCACTTGTACCAGCTGGGAAATAACAAACAAAACATTATTTATAAAAGGGGGAAATGTGAACATGGCTCTTGCAGTATTTATAAGTTTGTGCTGGGCATAGACTTCTAGACTGACAGCTGTTTTAGTGATTTTAAGGTGATGCCCCACTGCCTGCTGGTTTGCATCGTTTCTGTCTGAGTGAAGAGCCAGGCAGAACACAGAGAGAGCTGCATAGCCAAACACTGCAGAAAGCTAGACCCCATAGAAACCTAACACTGAAGAAACCTCAGGAGCCAAAGTGGTGGAGAAAACACAGTCCTTCCTCTCTCCCTTTTCAAATAATGATCATACATCTTCAAGCTGTCTGAAATGGTTAGGAAGTTCAGGGATGCACCAGAGCCAGCTGGCCCAAAAATCCCATCAGAGCAAAACAGGAGAATTTAATTCATGTCCACATAGAATGGACATACAGGTAAGAGGGAGGCTCTATAGCTCCTTTCCAATTAAAGGAGTCCTCAATTCTAGCACCTGAGAGTCCCCTGGGTCTAACAGCTGTGATATTTATGTACTGTGTTGCTCACCTAAATGAATATAATTTCCTTCCAGACATGTGACACTGATATTAAAGTGCTAACAAAAGGGATTTATTTATTTTTCATGTTAAAAGAGAAACAATAGTTCAGATTTCCCGTCAGAAGTCCGAGGACTTTGTTTTTGGTAACTAGTACCAATAAAAATTGAGTATCTGAAAAATTCCTTTGTAGTTTCCATCAATACACATTTTTAAAAGCATTTTAGGAAGTCCTCTAATTATACAGCAAAAAAAATTGTCAGCAGTGGCCTGCTAGTTTTTCACTGACCTAATCACAACCATCCTCCTCAGATTCTGAGGTCTACTCTGCTACTTGGCCAAAACCACATGGTGCCAGGTCACAAGGCACTTGCACCTATGTGACTCCTGGATCCATTCTACAGTGGGTCACTATTAACTGAAATAATGAAAATGATCAAGTACACAAAGCTTGCTGTTGACAGAAACTTCCTTACTCAAGCAAGGCAGTGCTACTGTACATGGTGAGACTTTGCAAAGTCAGTTCACCAACAGATGAAGGTGAACTGACTAGAAGTTCACCTAGAAGTTCAACTAGAAATTCAACTAGAAGTTCAACTAGAAGCAGGTGGCACAATGAAATGCCCTTTGCAGCTGTTGCCTATGTCTGTGGATGGGCTCTTTGCAGCTCAGGTTAGGCTTCTGTGTTAAAGTGCATTAGAAGAAAATATCACATAAGGAAAATAGAACTCTATTTGCATGTTTTTTTCAAAACAGACATCAAGTCAGATTCAGGCAAACCAAATCCGTAACATCCAAGAAGATGGAGTGACTCTTCCGCATCTTAAAGCCATGGCATCTGAGGTGGCTGGCATGGCTCCAACACACTGGCTTCCCTGTCAGTGTATCATTTACAATACAGTGCATTTCAAACTACTGGTGAATTCACTGAATGCTGGCTGTGTTTTTGTGTGTGTGTTTTTTTTAAAGGAATAAAATCTTAAAATTTAGGAAAAGAAAGAGAAAAAAAGCAAAGATGACAAAAATAATTGTCACAATCTCCTAAAACTGATGTCTATCATATCATACCTGTGAACTCTTGAATAAGTATTTATATCTGACAGGTACAAATAAAATTATACTTTTAAGTAAAACCTATTTAATAATAAGAAATATGGTGTTAAATACATTTATTAAAAGATAAGGAACTTCAGAAGTCTTCTGAGTTTTTAATTGTAAAATAATAAAAAATTGTTTGTGTTGCCGGGCGTAGTGGCCCATGCCTGTAATACTAGCACTTTGGGAGGCTGAGGTGGGTGGATCACCTGAGGTCAGGAGTTCAAGACCAGCCTGGCCATCATGGTGAAACCCCATCTTTAAAAAAAAAAAAAAAAAAAAATTGTTTGTGCTTTTCTTTTTAATGTATACTTATTTATTTATTTATTTATTTATTTTTTTGAGATGGGTCTCACTCAGTCGCCCAAGCTGGAGTACACAGTGGTGTGATCTCGGCTCACTACAACCTTCACCTCTGGAGTTCAAGGGATTCTCCTGCCTCAGCCTCCCCAGTAGCTGGGGTTACAGGCATGTGCCACCACACCCAGCTAATTTTTGTATTTTTAGTAGAAATGGGATTTCACCATGTTGGCCAGGCTGGTCCCCCGATCTCAGGTGATCCACCTGCCTTGGCCTCTCAAAGTTCTAGGATTACAGTTGTGAGCCACTGTGCCCCACCTACCGTATGCTTTTTACAAGCAGCATGCTTTTATTTTTCTTTTTTTAAAGACGGTCTTGCTGTATTGCCTAGGATAGAGTGCAGTGGCATGATCACGACCCATTGCACCCTCAACCTCCTGGTCTCAAATGATCCTCCTGCCTCAGCCTCCTGAGTAGCTGGGACCACAGGCATGCACCTCCACACCTGGCTAATTTTTAAATTCTTTGTAGAGATGGAGTCTCACTTAGCTGTACAGCTTAGTCTCAAACTCCTGGGCTCAAGTGCTCTTCCCACCCTGGCCTCCTGAGTTGGGCCCACAAGTGCTTGCCACCACGCCCAGCTAAGTAGTTTTTATACTAAAAAAACAAACTCCACTTCTAATTTTACAACAGAAAAATTTTTCTACCAAAAGCATTGGCAACAAAAGCCAAAATAAATAGGACCTGATCAAACTCCATAGTTTCTGTATGGCAAAAGAAACAGTCATTAGAGTGAATCGGCAACCAACAGAATGGGAAAAAATGTTTGCAATCTACCCATCTGACAAAGGGCTAATATCCAGAATTTGTAAAGAACTAAAACAGGTTTACAAGAAAAAAACAAACAAACCCATTCAAAAGTGGGCAAAGGGTATGAATAGATACTTTACAAAAGAAGACATACATGAGGCCAACAAACATATGAAAAAATGCTCATCATCACTGGTCATCAGAGAAATGCAAATCA